TTTTGTAACTTTTTTAGCTTACTAGATTTTTTGAAACTGAAAGTAGGACTTTCTGGTTCATCCACAGAGATACAGTTATACAGTTTATGAGCAACCTGGAAACATCTTACTAATAATTACTAGTATTATTCAGTAAAAGCAATGCTTATAATTCTTAAAGGAACATCAACTGGCATGTATGGACATGTCAATAGATGATTATGTACTCTTCATTTTTGATGATGATGATGAAGAAAACAAAAAATATAACATTTTCATGATAAGATTTTTTATTTCCAAACTGTAAAATTTTGAAAATATCTCCAAAAATTTAGCAAAAAGTAAAATTTCCATGACTTAGGCTTCCAAGTCACATTAGCACTTTTGAAATTTTTACTGAACTTCCAAATTTGCGGTAAAATGGGGGTGAATATCTTATAAAAGTCAATAGCACTTTTTCCTTTTAGTTTAAAAATTTGAAATTGTATTAAATTATTCAGCCTATAAATTAGTTATTGCATTTGTTTGCATTGCAGCAACAATGCAGTCATAGACAAGTGTGAAGAATACCCAATGTAAAGCCCTGATGCTTCCAGGTTTTCCTCACAGATGGAATCAAGAATCCACGCAGAACACCTCTGGACCCTTAGTCTATGTCTAGACTGCAAGCTTCTTTTGGAAGAAGCTTTTCCATAAGAGATCCTCTGAAAAATACTTTTTTTAAAAAATAGTGTCCAATCAATGTGGACGCTATCTAGCATTTAAGTTGTGATTAGTATGGATGGAGTGGCCACCAGGGCACCTGTGTTATTTCCTAGAGGCCTCTTCTTTCAAAAGAACTCCCGCTTCTGCGTCCACAAACACCTTTTTCCAAAAAAGCTTTTTTGGGAAAAGGCTCCTTCCCCATAGAAAAAGGTTTACTGCTGTTGGAAAAACCCCTCAGTTCTTTCAACTTTCTGTTGAAATAATACAATAGCAGTGTGGACGTAAGTGTAGTTTTTCTGGAAAAACAGTTGTTTTCCCAGAAAAACACTGAAGTACAGTAATTCCTCATTTAATACTATAGATGCGTTTCAGAAAGTGTTCGTGCTAAGTGAGAATGTGCTATGCGGGGTCAATTTTCCCATTAAAGATAATGGAAAAGGTGCAGGTTGTATTTCAGGTGGTGATGACAAAGTCAATATTTTGTTGGTGCTCAGTCATCAATGTCAGCATTAGATATCTAGCAACAGAAGTCGCTGCAGTTTGTTAAAACACAAAGATAAACACGTGAGTGAGTGGAGAAGCGCTGTGAACACGTGTATTCATCCACTAATGTGTATTACCACTGTTTTCACCAATTTATACCGCCACACGAAGTAGTCGCTACTTGATTATTTTCGTATTATTTTGGGGACGGTCGTGTTATTCAAAAAACATTCCCTAAAAATAAAATTGTGCTGTTGCAAAAACGTGTTAAGCAGGCACGTGTTAAATGAGTAATTACTGCATAGACATATCCTCATTGGACTCTTCATGATTGCATCAGCTGCAAGGTTAAAACTCATGTCCTGATTTTCAGAGTCCTGGGCACATAGGACACGAGTAATATGAGAGTGTTGAAATAATGCAAATTGGTCAAGGCTATCCTTGACCGATGTTGGATGCTATCAGAATAATTTCTGTGATGGTCTGTATTTTCTAAGAGACAACCTACCCTAAATTCTCAATTACTGAAGGTCCATCTTCACTCATTGACATCTGCTTTCCTCAACTAATTCTCTAAATAAATGTTCATGAGTAATGTACCCAATAATTGGATGTTAACATGTCAACTGTATTATTAAAATCTGGGTTATATACTATATGTACCTATGACTTTTAAAACAAACTTTGTATTTGTGTACAATCTAAGCACTATATCCATATGTTCAGACACTCTTTTTCTAACCCATATTATGTAAATTTTAACATTAGCTTTAATAATCACTTTTTCAGAACAAGCAAAATGCAGGACAATGTAGCACTTCAAAGACTAACAAGATGGTTTATTAGATGATGAGCTTTCGTGGGCCAGACCCACTTCCTCAGATCAAATAGTGGAAGAAAATAGTCACAACCATATTTACCAAAGGATACACGACATTTCTAACTTAGATCGTCTCAAGTTATTTGATCTGAGGAAGTGGGTCTGGCCCACGAAAGCTCATCATCTAATAAACCATCTTGTTAGTCTTTGAAGTGCTACATTGTCCTGCATTTTGCTTCAGCTACCCCAGACTAACACGGCTACATTTCTATCACTATTTTTCAGAACAGTTTGCAGGAATACAGAATACATAACAAAGGTGTGAAAGTATATCAGATGCTCTGTACCATGGTGAATGTTAGTGAAATAAATGTGAGCAGATAGTGAAAAGATGTATGTCTTGCTAGACCAATTACCCCTGTCCTCCCCACCCTAATAAAAGATACGTTGTTAATTGTGTACTTGCAGGAGACAGGTTGTTAAATAGGCCTTCTACTCAGAGTGCAGTCTCACACTGAGGTCTATACAGTTTATTATTGGTCTCTTAAATTCATTATTTCCCATTAGGATGGTTGGTGGATTGTGCAATATGCTGATGACGCTCACCTTTGTGATCGTAATTCTTCTAACTAGAGTGAGCACCAGAGTGCCTTTCCCAAAGTCTGGTCAAGGTAAGCAAAATGGCTGAAGTTCAATCCTGAGACGGTGGATTAAAATTTCACTGTTTCTAAAATTCCAAAATATGGAGTTTCATGATATTCTATGATGAAGAAATCCTTATCATATCTGAAATAAATATCAAAGGGTATGTCTACATTACAGCACTAATTTGAACTAAGCAAATTCGAATTAGTGCATCTAGACCTAAAAACTAATTTGAATTAGCATTTTGCTAATTTGAACTAGCATGTCCACATTGAGTGGACCCTGAACCGAGGTTAAGGATGGCCGGAAGCAGTGCCTGCAAGGCATCAGATTAGGACTCAGAGCGTGGAGCTGCTGTCTCAGGCTAGCCGAGAGCTGTGCTTAAAGGGACCCGACCCCCACCCCGGACAGACAGTTCTCCGGGGTTCCCCGCTCGCTTGTGTAACTCGATGAGGGACAGCAAAGCAGTCCTGGCTTGGAGTGCCCTGAGTGCCCACACTTGGCACATCACAGCACTTGGCCATCAGCCTGGCTGCACTTGCCGCAGGCTGCCATCCGGGGACTGAAGCTGCTTTGCAGCAGCCTCACCCACCCTCCCCCCATGCCTTGCTGCCTCTCATGGAGGAAGCAGGGGCAAAGGGTAGGTGGCACAGTGGAGCCAGTGTTGGGGGGAACCAGCTATTAA